TTCATATTTGGCATGGAGGTTAGTCATGATTTGTTGATGACCCCTATTGATTTTGAGGTCATCAGGTCAAAGGTCAAGGTCGCAGGGGCCTTGACTTCAAAAAGCTTGTCCGCCCAATAACTTAAGATTCCTTTGACCCATAGTCTTCATATTTGGCATTGAGGTTAGACATGATTAGTAGATGACCCCTATTGACTTTGAGGTCACCAGGTCAAAGGTCAAGGTCACAGGGGCCTTGACTTCAAAAAGCTTGTCCGCTCTATAACTTAAGATTCCTTTGACCCACAGTCTTCATGTTTGGCATGGAGGTAAGTCATGATTAGTAGATGACCCCTATTGATTTTGAGGTCACCAGGTCAAAGGTCAAGGTCACAGGGACTTTGACTTCAAAAAGTTTGTCCACCCATTTACTTAAGATTCCTTTGACCCACAGTCTTCATATTTGGCATGGATGTTGATCATGACTATAAGGTGACCCCTATTGACTTTGAGGTCACTGGGTCGAAGGTCAAGGTCACAGGGACCTTGACAAAAAAAGCTTTTCTTCTCAATTGCTAAAGAATGTCCTGTCCGCAATGTATTGATTTTGACATTTTCACATTTGAAGCTTGTAGAATACATAACTTAGCAATGCACTGGCTTAGTAACCTCAGATTTGGCAGGGAGGTTGTCCTTGAGCTCTAAATGGCCACTGTTGATTCTGACAAAGTGGTATGCGGGGGTATTCACGCCAAGATAGTGGCAGTTCTAGTTTAATTAAATATCTATCTGAGATGTTTCGTCCCATTTATATAATTCTGACCACTTTACTATATTTACAATGTATTCATTCATGCTAGCAAGCACATGCGTATATACGAAGTTTAACACGTAGGTATATATACTACGATTTTATCAATGAACTGTTATTTTTTGTTTTCTTTAAAAGAATGTTAAGAGTCTATTTTTTCATGAAAATGAACGATTTGGAACTTTCAAAGAATACAAACAACTTTGCAAACAATATTTTAATGATGTGTAGTCGGACTGTAAAGCTACTGCAGAATGAAGAACTAGTTTCTATAGACCCTTTCATTTAAGCGATAACAGTCAGGGAAGAGTTACTTCCCTTACCGGATGTGACGTATATGGGGGATAAACTATGCAGCCGCATAGAATGTTAGCTTATTGAAAAGTTAAATGCGTAAATACTGATCGTTCAATTATGATTATAACAAGTAAAAACGATTGCATACATAAATTCAATATCAAGACAATAGAAGAAAATACAAAAACAAATATTGAGATTAATTCTCGCTATGGAGTGAAACAGCGAAATTTCAAAGTGAATATATAAAATTTATTAGTTTTTACTAGATTTTCTTTTATGCCAGGTTAAAAAGCTAGTATCTTAATCAAATTTTAATATTTTATAAACACCCATACACACTGAATTGCCTATTATAAATTTAAATGGTCATTTTCTAGTTTTCTGTGTTATTTTCTGTCATTTAGAAAATCCGGCGTATTTGTGACAAACATGAATATAAGATTGCCAATGTCTTTTAATGATTGTTTTTTTAAGCTTTAATAGAACAACTACAGAATGCATTCTGTCAATACTTACTTATTCTTTTTCATTAGGCCGTATAAAGAACCAGTGAAGGATATAATTTTATAAATATTCCGGAAAGAACGAAAACCATGTGGTATTGACTTTCATAATTTTAGATTCGCAACAGACGATAATAAGATAATTTTGATATTAAAAATCTATTCTTATGGTTATAAAAATAAAGACCTTTTCCCAGTAACTTATTTCATAGATAAATAGATGTGTATAAATAAGCGCCACTGGGCCGTAACATATTAATTAACAGGGTGCATATGTTGTATATACAAGCGGCATTTGGCTGTGATATCATAAATCACCAGGGTGCATTTTTTTAGAGTTATAACATTACATCAGATTACGTCAATTTTGTTAGTTGTCAAAATATTTATGGTCCGAATTTTGTTATGGATCATCCTAGGGACTTTATTTGTCATGCCATACTGATTTGATACTCGATCCAGAGTCTTACCAACTCGCACAGTCAAAAATACGTGAAATTATGCTCTGAAATTATAATTCAGTTAATAACGAATGTCTGTGAACGTGTTTCTTGTTTTTTTTTTGTGATTTTTTTTTAAATATTTGATAAGCAGAGTATGCATTAAAAGGTATCAAGTTGAAAATATTACTTTACCAGCTTAAATATATTGGTGTGATGTACGATTTTTTGAGAGTGCATTTTTTGCCGACACAAATAGTATACAGTCATGTACATTCAAAAGAATTTTTACTTTTTATGCCTTTACATTTTGTTTTGAAATTACATAGATTTATATTGTTGTTTTTCTTTGTCTTAGTAATGCTTAATTAAATCAAAATGATTTTTAATAAACCAGTATCTTGCAATTAATCATTACGTAGCCGTTTTTCGAAACTACAGAATCCTTACATTTTTGAAACTCAGAATATCTTTTGGGTATTGTATATTAGCAGAGACATAGATACATTATCTAAATTTCTGGTATTAGCAAGTTAGTACGATTTAACTGCCTGGTAAAATTTTCATTATTAAGAATCTAACGAAAATGGTAATCATGATCAGTTACCCAGCAATATGGTCTACTATTAAAACAAATCTTTAACCTTATAATAGTACACATTTTTATTCATTTCACCATCCTTTTTATATAATACCTTATTCAATTACACAAAAGTTTGGCAATTCAATTTGCCAATCTTAAAAGAGAAAGGATTAAGATCTTTATATCCCTTTATTATTGTACTTAATCGTATCGGCATTGTCCACCGTATCCCCCAATGACGTCATCCAAGGGCGACAACTTGAATACGGTCTTAAATGAAAGGGTCTATAGAGGTTTTTATCTGGAAGTGGATGTTGTTCGGTAACGACTTAACCTGTAACGATTGTGGAGATATAGCTTATAACTCTGTATACATTGCAAGCAATGTATACAAAAATCAATAATATGAAAAGACATACCTTAGTATAAAGCTATTTATATAATAAACATTTTTAATCCTTATTAAGCCCCTCTTCAAAGAAGTAGGGGGGTTATATTTCTTTGCATTTGTCTGTTGATGGGTCCATAGATTAAAAATGGTTTCCAACTTCACCTTCGTAGGTGCATTGGTCTTGGCAAGTAAATGATCCCTTATGATTTTGGGGTCAAAGGTCACGGTCATATTGACCTTGTAGGTAATAATAACTTGACAACCCATGGGCTTTTGGCCCTCAACCTGCATAGGTGCTATGGTCTTTTCCTGTTGATGATCCCTGATTTTGGGGTCAGGTGGTGAAAGGTTAAGGTCATATTGACCTTGTTTGTCAAAACAGTCTCTTAATAATAACTCGACAACCCATATATAACTAATGGGCCCTTTACCTTCAAACTTCACAGGTGCATTGGTCTTGGCCAGAAGGTAACCTTATTGATTTCAGGGTCAAAGCCACATTGACCTTGTACCTAAAAATGGTTTCTGACCAATAACTGAACAACACTATTTGCCTTGGTTGATATGTTTTATAAGACTAAAAATGCTTTTTGAATACACATTTCAAGGTCTAGTGTAATATAACAAATGGGCTATCATTAAGGAGGCCGGAGGCCTTCATGATTCATAAAATTTATGCATATATTATTTGGAAAGATTTGTGATAACTTTGTCATAAAATTGCTGCACACAACCTTTTTGGTCACAATGACCTAGTGACAAGTCATGACTAACAGATAATCCCTATTATTTTTATGCCCCCACAGAGTGGGAGCATATAGCGTTGCACTTGTCCGTCCGTCTGTCCGTCCGTCCCGAAATCTTGTGAACACAACTCCTCTTAAACCGGATGGCAGATTTTGCTTAAACTTACAGGGATGAACAACCTTAATGTGTAGATGGTAGTAAAGGAAGGAATTTATGCTGCGACCAAATTTAACAGAATTATGGCCCTTTGTTGATTTTTTCACTATGTACTATGTAGAAATTTTGTGAACGCAACTCCTCTTAAACCGGATGGCAGATTTTGCTTAAACTTCCAGGGATGATAAACCTTAATGTGTAGATGGCAGTAAAGGGAGGAATTTTTGCTGCGACCAAATTTAACAGAATTATGGCCCTTTGTTGATTTTTTCACTATATACTATGTAGAAATTTTGTGAACACAACTCCTCTTAAACCGGATGGCAGATTTTGCTTAAACTTCCAGGGATGAACAACCTTAATGTGTAGATGGTAGTAAAGGGAGGAATTTTTGCTGCGACCAAATTTAACAGAATTATGGCCCTTTGTTTATTTTTTCACTATATACTATGTAGAAATTTTGTGAACGCAACTCCTCTTAAACCGGATGGCAGATTTTGTTTAAACTTACAGGGATGAACAACCTTAATGTGTAGATGGTAGTAAAGGGAGGAATTTTTTGCTGCGACCAAATTTAACAGAATTATGGCCCTTTGTTTATTTTTTCACTATATACTATGTAGATATTTTGTGAACGCAACTCCTCTTAAACCGGATGGCAGATTTTGCTTAAACTTCCGGGGATGAACAACCTTAATGTGTAGATGGTAGTAAAGGAAGGAATTTTTGCTGCGACCAAATTTAACAGAATTATGGCCCTTTGTTGATTTTTTCACTATATACTATGCAGAAATTTTGTGAACGCAACTCCTCTTAAACCGGACGGCAGATTTTGCTTAAACTTCCAGGGATGAACAACCTTCATGTGTAGATGGTAGTAAAGGAAGGAATTTTTGCTGCGATCAATTTAACAGAATTATGGCCCTTTGTTGACTTTTAGTTTTCAACTTGTGGCACATGTAGTCCAAAAAAATATTTGACCTAAAGTATTAAGATTGACAGAACAGTGGCGTGTGGGGGCATCCGTGTCCTATGGACACATTTCTAGTTTTGTCACTAGGTCAAAAGTCAGTCACAATAACCAGGCTAGATGACTGATCAGCTGCCGAAAGGGGGTACACAAAAGTCATGTTTTACAAACATATCATGTTTGTTCTTGCATAATGTGTTTGCCTCTGACCTTGTGTATATATAGCCATTTCAGCATTGGGTGTATCATGTAAAGTCTGGCTACTGTTTGTGAACAGATTACTTCTTATTCAAACTGAGATTTTAAACCTTTTTACTGATTCAATGCCATATGATATTAAAGAAATTTGGTTGTGTATAGCAAATGTCTTATACTTAAGAGGAGGCCAAATCTGATATATTTTTGATTATTAATTTCCCATAAACTGTCTTCTTCTGCTTTTATTTAAACCATCCAATAAAGCGTTGCCATGTAAAAACCAACTAAATATAATTTTACATTTTTTCTAGAAATTGAATTAGGATCAACAGGATGTTCAAGAACTGTATCTGATTCCTGTATGTCACCTAATGCAGCATGCCAGTTAAATGGATACTGTACATGTAACAGTGGATATTATGATGATAATGGAAATCAAGCTGGAGGAACTTGTACTAGAAGTATGTATTATTTTACTTTGTTTTTAGCTTGACTATACGAAGTATATGGAGAGCTGTCTTACTCGCCTCGCCACAGGCAAAATTTTCATGTCTTAGTTCATTATTCTGTAAATGCCCTCAAAATGAATATATTAGACAGTCAAAAGAACAAACTTTTTTCCATATAAAGAATAAAATTGTGGTTTCCTAACTTGACCCGCGTGGGTCATGTAAGAGTGCTAGGATTTCATCATAGTTGTCACAGTGAACTATGGAAAAGTTGAAGAACATGTCAAATGAATGACTTAGACTTGTTTCAATCATACAATATCCACAATATCTGTTATTGTAACTTCAAGGGTTTGTTCAAGTCACCTGATTTGTTTTAAAACTATTTGGGGATTTTATTGGCGTCTAAATTTTGCTCAACATATATAGATATATTTACGCTTCAAACCCAAAATGTATAGAATTTAAACAGAAATTCATGCTGAAACTTTAAGAAATGTCATTTAATTGTGATTTGAGTACATAAGATCATTTTAATATTTTGTCATTATTTTGCCTGAATATTCCTTTAAAGTTATGGTGCAGTAAAATATTTTTCACTATAACTTTGTCATTTCTTAAGGTATCAACTTCAAATATATGTTCCTTATCATCAACCACATCTTATGTGACAAGTTTCATAACTCTAGCACCAATATTTTCAGATTTATCTCCCCTTGAACTTAGAATTTTCCTTAAAAAATACTATTTATAGCTCAACTATACGAAGTATATGGAGAGCTGTCCTACTCACCCCAGCGTTGGCGGTGGTGTCAGTGTCCGCGTCCAGATTTCAGATTAAAGTTTTGGTGCAGTAAAATACTTTTCACTATAACTTTGTCATTTCTTAAGGTATCAACTTCAAACTTCAAATATATGTTCCTTATCATCAACCACATCTTATGTGACAAGGTTCATAACTCTAGCGCCAATATTGCCACATTTATCTCCCCTTGAACTTAGAATTTTCCTTAAAAAATACTATTTTTTAGCTCACTTTTCACAAAGTGACAGGGTGAGCTTTTGTGATCGCTTTTCGTCCGGCATCCGTCTGTAAACTTTTACTTTAAATGACATCTCCTCATAAACCACTTATCCAATTTCATCCAAACTTCACAGGAATGTTCCTTTGGTGGTGACCTTTAAAAATTGTTCAAAGAATTTAATTCCATGCAGAACTCTGGTTGCCATGGCAACCAGAAGAAAAAACTTTAAATATCTTCTTTTAAAAAACCCTAAGAGCTAGGGCTTTGGCATGAAACATTTTCTAGTGAGTGTCTTCCAAGTTTGTTTAAATAAAAACCCTGGGGTCAAAATTGGCCCGGCCCCAGGGGGTCTTTGATTTTCCCTATTTGCATATAGTAAAAAATCAACCACATCTTATGTGACAAGGTTCATAACTCTAGCGCCAATATTGCCACATTTATCTCCCCTTGAACTTAGAATTTTCCTTAAAAAATACTATTTTTTAGCTCACTTTTCACAAAGTGACAGGGTGAGCTTTTGTGATCGCTTTTCGTCCGGCATCCGTCTGTAAACTTTTACTTTAAATGACATCTCCTCATAAACCACTTATCCAATTTCATCCAAACTTCACAGGAATGTTCCTTTGGTGGTGACCTTTAAAAATTGTTCAAAGAATTTAATTCCATGCAGAACTCTGGTTGCCATGGCAACCAGAAGAAAAAACTTTAAATATCTTCTTTTAAAAAACCCTAAGAGCTAGGGCTTTGGCATGAAACATTTTCTAGTGTGGCAACCAGAAGAAAAAACTTTAAATATCTTCTTTTAAAAAACCCTAAGAGCTAGGGCTTTGGCATGAAACATTTTCTAGTGAGTGTCTTCCAAGTTTGTTTAAATAAAAACCCTGGGGTCAAAATTGGCCCGGCCCCAGGGGGTCTTTGATTTTCCCTATTTGCATATAGTAAAAAACTTAAAAAATCTTCTTTTAAAGAACCCAAAGAGCTAGAGCTAAGATATTTAGCATGAAACATCTTCTAATGAGTGTCTACCAAGTTTGTTCAAATAAGAGCCCTGGGGTCAAATTTGGTCCTGCCCCGGGTCTCATTGATTTTCCTAATATATGTGTATAGCAAAAACTTAAAAATCTTCTTTGAAAAAACCCAAATAGCTAGAGTTTAGATATTTAGCATGAAACATCTTCTAGTGAGTGTCTACAAAGTTTGTTCAAATAAAAGCCCTGGGGTCAAAATTGGCCCCGCCCCGGGTCTCATTGATTTTCCTAATATAATGAGTATTGGAAAAAATTTAAAAATCTTCTTTGAAAAAACCCAAATAGCTAGAGTTTAGATATTAAACATGAAACATCTTCTAGTAAGTGTCTGCAAAGTTTGTTCAAATAAAAGCACTGGGGTCAAAACTGGCCCCGCCCCAGGGGTGTCATTGTTTTTAACTATATGTGTATAGTAAAAACTTAAAAAATCTTCTTTTAAAAAACCCATGGAATTAGCTAGAGCTTAGATGTTTAGCATGAAACATCTTCTTATAGGTGTCTACCAAGTTTGTTCAAATAAAAGCCCTTGGGTTAAAAAATTTGCCCTGCCCGGGGGGGGGGGGGGGGGGGGGTTAGATTGTTGTTTTTCATTATATGTGTGTAGTAAAAACTTAACATCGTGAAACATCTTCTAATGGGTGTCTTCCAAGTTTGTTCAAATAAAAGCCCTGGGGTTTAAACTGGCCTATATAAAGGTGAGCGACCTCAGGGCCATCATGGCCCTCTTGTTACGGTTACTTCTTTATTTCTTAAGGGATAAACTTCATACTTCAAATATATGTTCCTTATCATCAACCACATCTTATGTGACAAGGTTCATAACTCTAGCACCAATATTTTCAGGTTTATCTCCCCTTGAACTTAGAATTTTCCTGAAAAAATATTATTTATTACTGTTACTTCTTTATTTCTTAAGGGATCAATTTAATACTTATGTACCTTATCATCATCCACATCTTATGTGACAAGGTTCATAACTCTGGCACCAATATTGCAAGAATTATCTCCGCATAAACTTAGATTTTTTTTACTTGAAAAATGTTATTTTTTACTATAACCTTTTTAGTTTTAAAGGTATTTACGTCAAACTTCAAATACTTATTCCTTATCATCAACTACATTTTATGTGACAATGTTCATAACTCTTGAATCAATATTTACAGATTTATCTCTCTTTGAACTTAGGATTTTCTTTACGTAATATTATAACTTCTTTACTTTTTAAGGTATCTACTTCAAACTTCAAATATATATTTCTTATCATTACACACATGTTGTGAACTCTAGCGTGACTATTTCTAGAATTTTTCCCTTTGATCTTGGAATTTATGTTAACAATGTTATTTTTTTACTATAACTTAAACATAATTATACATAATTGATTTTTCTTTCATAGTTTTGTCTTCTTTACTGCATGCAGTATTTTATTAATCGAGCGGCTCTGTCTCCTGTGACAGCTCTTGTTTACTGTTACTTCTTTATTTCTTAAGGGATCAACTTCATACTTCAAAAATATGTACCTTATCATCATCCACATCTTATGTGACAAGGTTCATAACTCTAGCACCAATATTGCAAGAATTATCTCCCCATAAACTTAGATTTTTTTTACTAGAAAAATGTTATTTTTTACTATAACTTTTTTAGTTTAAAAGGTATTTACCTCAAACATCAAATACTTATTACTTATCATCAATTACATTTTATGTGACAATGTTCATAACTCATGGAACAATATTTACAGATTTATCTCTCTTAAAACTTAGGATTTTCTTTACGAAATACTATAACTTATTTACTTTTTAGCTCACCTGTCACAAAGTGACAGGGTGAGCTTTTGTGATCGCTTTTCGTCCGGCGTCTGTCCGTCGTCCGTCCGTCTGTCCGTAAACTTTTACTTTAAATGACATCTCATAAACCGCTGGGCCAATTTCATCCAAACTTCACATGAATGTTCCTTTGGTGGTCACCTTTAAAAATTGTTCAAAGAATTTAATTCCATGCAGAACTCTGGTTGCCATGGCAACCGATAGAAAAAACTTAAAATATCTTCTTTTAAAAAACCCAAAGAGCTAGAGCTAAGATATTTAGCATGAAACATCTTCTAATGGGTGTCTACCAAGTTTGTTCAAATAAAAGCCCTGGGGTCAAAATTGGCCCAGCCCCAGGGGGTCATTGATTTTCCCTAGATGCATATAGTAAAAACTTAAAAAATCTTCTTTTAAAGAACCCAAAGAGCTCGAGCTAAGATATTTAACATGAAACATCTTCTAATGGGTGTCTATCAAGTTTGTTCAAATAAAAGCACTGGGGTCAAAATTGGCCCCGCCCCAGGGGGTCATTGATTTTCCCTATATGCATTTAGTAAAAACTTATAAAATCTTCTTTGAAAAAACTCAAATAGCTAGAGTTTAGATATTAAGCACGAAGCATCTTCTAGTGAGTGTCTACAAAGTTTGTTCAAATAAAAGCCCTGGGGTCAAAATTGGCCGGCCCCGGGGGACATTGATTTCCTTATATGTGTATAGCAAAAACTTAAAAATCCGCTTTGAAAAAACCCAAATAGCTAGAGTTTAGATATTAAGCATGAGACAATTTATAGTAAGTGTCTACAAAGATTGTTCAAATAAAAGCCCTGGGGTCAAAACTTGCCCTGCCCCAGGTGTGTCATTGTTTTTAACTAAATGTGTAAAGAACAAACTTGAAAAAATCTTCTTTTAAAAAACTCAACGAGCTAGACCTTAGATGTTTAGCATGAAACATCTTCTAATGGATGTCTACCAAGTTTGTTCAAATAAAAGCCCTGGGGTTTAAACTGGCCCCGCTCCGGGGGCCTATATACAGGTGAGCAACTTCAAGGTCATCATGTCCCTCTTGTTAAGGTATCTACTTCAAACTTCAATATATATTTCTTATCTTTACACACATGTTGTATGACGAGGTTCATTACTGTAGCTTGACTTTGATCACTGATTGCTCTTGTTAATGTTTTACATGGTGTTTTATTTTATCCCACACAATTGAATGTTTGTTCTTAATTTAACACTGCCAATTCACATGGTTTTAAAACTTCTGTTCACAATGAGTCATTAAAATGATTCTATCTTGCATGTAAAAACACAGAAAAAAATATAAATATGAAAAATAATGATCAATAGACAATTTAGCAGAACATTTTGTAATAAATTACATATTAAAATTCAATAAAAAATAATTTTATGAATGTTACAAAACATCATTACTCTTTTGGCTTGCTCCTGGTATGCTGATTTGTGATTCTTTTGACACTGATGACTAAGAGAAATTCATGAAATGCATTTTGTAGTGCATGCCTTGAAAAAGCTTTTCAGAGTTTAAGTTTCATAATTATGCATTTATAAAAAAGTGTTATGCAAAATTTCTATGAACTTCCCAATTCTCACTCTTACAAAGTCAGATTCACTTTGAAGTTATGTCATAAATTTGGAATAGATGCGCCAGGGAAGCTGACCATTAATATTGGTAAACCTTACATAAGTTAGACGATATTATTTGTAGTTTGATATGTTCATTCTTGTGGTTCTTTTAATGTCAATTTTTTATCTGTTATAGAAATTGAGTTAGGATCATATGGATGTTCAACAACTGTATCTGATTCCTGTAAGACACCTAACGCAGCATGCCAGTCAGATCGATACTGTAGATGTAACAATGGATATTATGATGATAATGGAAGTCAAGGTGGTGGAACCTGTAGGCAAAGTATGAATTATTTTACTTTTCTTTTTATCAATAAAGATTTTGCTTACATACATTTAGATGATTATCTTCAAGTGTTTAATATATATTATATATATCTGACTTTTCTTTACTTAAATTTATAATGATTTTGCAAATATTTGTTTTTTTGTTGGATGTAGTGAAAGTTAATAGAATCATAAAAAGTGTCATTTTAAAACAAAAATTTAAACTTTTTCAGAGAAAAAGATACAAACTGTTTGCTTTTCTTAAAAAAGTAGTACATGTATTATGAAGTACCCTCAGCATTTCTATGGAGGCTATTCGTTGCCAAAAATCCAGCCTTTGAAACTTGACAATGCATACTTTGGTTCTACTAAAGAGATTAGTAAAAATCTAATTGTCGATCCGAAAGTTACACACTGCACTGGTATTAAGCATTTTGATTATCTCGATTTGATAAATTGGAAGCTGTAAACATGCAACTTAGATAAATTGCAAACTGTATTTATAAATGTATAACTTCAAATTTGCGACATTTAGAAATGTAAACGATAGAACGTACACATTACATTTAATGCAGTGTATCATGACGTTGAGAATGTAACTGCATCAACTTGGCACACTCAGGTTTACAACACCACACTTTCCTTTTACATTATAACGCGATTAACATTCGGAAACGTTTTTGCAACTTTCCTCTATGAAATTATCACGGAAAAAGACAAAAATTAGTAGGTGTAGCCAATTTTCACGAACGCAGAATATAAAGAGTACAAAAATATTTCAAATTATATAGAAACTGTTATTAATTTCACACACATCAACTGCATTACAGTTGACTTAGAATATCCTCTGATTTTGTTAAAACGTATTCTAGTACAGGATATTCAAGTAATGCAAAATTGGTTAAGATATAATGTAACAATGTAACAACGTTTATACTGATAATGAGCATAATAATATGCAAAAACTAAAGTTGGTGAATTAACATAAGGGAATGTTTCCCATATATAATGACAAACACCACTGTATGTTGATATGAACAATAGGGTTTGTGTGCCTTCAAAGGTGACACAGTATTATTTGTACGCATATATTTTACATTCAGCAAAAAATTTTGAATGCGATACATGGAAGTCACTTTTGGCAACACAAATAAAGAGAACTGAACAGTAAGCCTGTGCCTTCTTTTTTAAAGGACTATGTTGGGTTGTAGAAAAATTCATAGTTTTGACCAAGTGTATAACCACGAAACAATTCAAAGTTTACTATCCATAATTCTGTTGTATAACCAAAAACTTGTGAATTTGTCCCATTTTAATGTTGAAATACTGACGTAGGTTATGCATTGTACTGAATCAATAGCAACTCTAAAATCCGTGTAAGACTTGCTGTCTATCTGATCAAAAGCAGAGAACTATTTTTATGTATATGAAATACTACACAGAATATTTATGAAGTTCTGTAAGTGATGACTTTCTAAGAGATAAAATAAACAAGGTAAATTGATAATCAACATACATACCTTTAGACTCATTTAAATATGATTATTGAAAAACAAAATGGTAAAAATGGGAAAATATATCTATACAGTATGGTAAAAATAAAAGTTTTGTACGAAAGATTACATACAACTTTGGTTATAATTTTACTATTGTTAAAAGTGTTTTCTTGTCAATTAATATGCTAGAATTAAGGTTACTATTTTATAGTAAATGCTACTACTAGGAAAGACAACAGCCAGAATTTGGTCTGTATTAGTCGTATCAAAATCTCTATCAGAGATTGACTTGAAAATTTGAAAGTGGTAAGGTAGCAGCTTAACTGTAAATGTTACTCATTACTATTCAAATTGGAATACCCTCAGTATAATTTATTTGTCGTTAAATATAGTCTTATCAATAGATTTTTCTTCCGTGAAAAATATTTTAACCTCAGGCAGTAAGTAGCCTGGTGAGGTTTTTTTTTGTTTTTTTTTTCAGTTTCTTTTTCTAGGAAATGTGGTATCTACAATGTTTTAAAAACTTTATGCCTTTAATCCTTTAAAGTCAGCTGATGTTGATTGTATAAGGCATAGAATGGCAATCATGCAAGTGAATTATGTTTGGTGAATAACTAAACACCTAAAAGGTGTGGTAAACGGAAACTATGCCGCTTCTTGTCGCCGACGGTAAATACCGAAAATGAGCGGATAAATACATTAATTTAAGATGATGTAGTGGGCGGGAAAATGGGCGAAGCTTATTTTATCTCCTGTTGAAAAACATGTAAAGCTGGATTATACTGATTCGAATCATGATGGTTCAACAATGTAAAGCTAAGAATGTAACTACTGTTTTGTCGGCGTATACACGAACAATTAGTATTTGAAAACTTACAGGAATGATCAGAACCAAGTCTAGTTGTGCATATTGTCAGCATTTTCCGGTTCAATGATTTTTGTCAGAGTTATGGCCCTTTAATAATTTTTATTTTTAAAGTTTGTCCGGACTTACTTCTCTTATACCACTAATGCAATTTCAATGAAACTTTACAGGGATTGATCTGTAGCTCAAGTCCTTGCGCATATTGCACGGGTTTTCCGGTTGAATGATTTTTGGCCGAGTTATGGCCCTTTGATAAAAAGGTGTTTTTTTCTGTGTGTTGCCAGATACACAAAAGCTTGTCCGGACTAACTCCTCAAAAACTACTGGTGCAATTTCATCCAAACTTTACAGGAATGATCAGTACCAAGTCTAGTTGTGCATATTGTCAGCATTTTCCGGTTCAATGATTTTTGTCAGAGTTATGGCCCTTTAATAATTTTTATTTTTAAAGTTTGTCCGGACTTACTTCTCTTATACCACTAATGCAATTCCAATGAAACTTTACAGGATTGATCTGTAGCTCAAGTCCTTGTGCATATTGCACGGGTTTTCCGGTTGAATGATTTTTGGCCGAGTTATGGCCCTTTGATAAAAAGGTGTTTTTTTCTGTGTGTTGCCAGATACACAAAAGCTTGTACGGACTACTCCTCATAAACTACTGGTGCAATTTTATCCAAACTTTACACTAATGATCAGTACCAAGTCTGGTTGTGCACTGTCTGTCTGTCACAAAACTTGTCCCAACATAAAATTGGCCATCATGAGGCGACACATGTGATTACTGATCGCTCTTGTTACAATGTTAAATCCGCAAACTCAATCCAAGTATGCAAAATTGGAGTTTACATAGAAAGAAATACAATAAAAAAAAATTATTGTATTTTATCCATTAACAAACTAGTTTCAACTCAGATCAACAAGGCTGGATTTTTGGCAACGAATAGCCTCCATACATTTCTAGTCCCCTACCTATTTTAACTTTTTGTCAATTCATCCATGCTTTTGTGAGTTTGAAGAAATCTGGATCCAGTCTTAATTCGAAAAGTTATGTTGATGATACTTGGCTTGAGGACCATTTGGAGACTATGTACAGCATATATAATTTTTAGCTTGACTATTCGCAGAATAATGGAGCTAATGCAGTCACCTATTTGTCGGCTTCGGCATCCCTGTGGTTAAGTTTTTGCGTGTAAGCTGGTATCTCCATAACTACTGAAGGGAATGGATTGAAACTTCACACTTTTGTTCTGATTTGCATAATTATGCCCCTTTTTCAACTTAGAAATTCTTGGTTTATTTTTTGCATGTAAGCTGGTATCTCCATAACTACTAAAGAGCAAAATGAAACTTCACATACTTGTTCTCTGTGATTATCTAACATGATTGGCACAAGTCCCATAACTCTGATTTGCTTTTTTGCATATTTATGCCCCTTTTTCGACTTATAAATTCTTGGTTAAGTTTTTGCTTGCAAGCTGGTATCTCCATAACTACTGAAGGGAATGGATTGAAACTTCACACACTTGTTTTCTGTGATTATCTAAGATGAATGGCACATTAGTCCCATAACTCTGGTTTGCTTTTTTGCATAATTATGCCCCTTTTTCAACTTAGAAATTCTTGGTTTAGTTTATGCTTATAAGCTGGTAACGCCATAACTACTGAAGGGTTTGTGCCTTTTTAGCTCACCTGTCACAAAGTGACAGGGTGAGCTTTTGTGATCGCTTTTCGTCCGGCGTCCGTCCGTCGTCCGTCCGTAAACTTTTACTTTAAATGACATCTCCTCATAAACCACTAAGCCAATTTCATCCAAACTTCACAGGAATGTTCCTTTGGTGGTCACCTTTAAAAATTGTTCAAAGAATTTAATTCCATGCAGAACTCTGGTTGCCATGGCAACCGAAAGAAAAAACTTTAAATATCTTCTTTTAAAAAACCATAAGAGCTAGAGCTTAGATATTTGGCATGAAACATCTTCTAGTGAGTGTCTACCAAGTTTGTTCAAATAAAAGCCCTGGGGTCAAAATTGGCCCCGCCCCGGGGGGTCATTGATTTTCCCTATATGCATATAGTAAAAACTTAAAAAATCTTCCTTTAAAGAACCCAAAGAGCTAGAGCTAAGATATTTAGCATGAAACATCTTCTAATGGGTGTCTACCAAGTTTGTTCAAATAAAAGCCCTGGGGTCAAAATTGGCCCCGCCCTGGGGGGTCATTGATTTTCCCTATACGCATATAGTAAAAACTAGAAAATCTTCTTTTAAAGAACTCAAAGAGCTATGGCTAAGATATTGAGCATCAAACATGTTCTAATAGGTGTCTACCAAGTTTGTTCAAATAAAACCCCTAAGGGTCAAAATTGGCCCCGCCCCAGGGGGTCATTGATTTTCCTTATATGTGTAAAGCAAAAACTTAAAAAATCTTCTTTTAAAGAACTCAAAGAGCTATGGCTAAGATGTTTAGCATCAAACATGTTCTAATAGGTGTCTACCAAGTTTGTTCAAATAAAAGACCTGGATTCAAAATTGGCCCCGCCCCTGGGGTCATTGATTTTCTTTATATGTGTATAGCAAAAACTTAAAATCTTCTTTGAAAAAACCCAAATAGCTAGAGTTTAGATATTAAGCATGAAACATCTTCTAGTAGGTGTCTACAA